ATCTTCACTTGTCTTCTTCTTTTTTGAGCTTGCTGTTAAACCTGAATATTTTTCATCCGGGGAACGCTTCACTGGTTTTCGATACATGATTCTTCCATCTGCTGAAGCTGGTTCTTCATCTGCAGTAAAAACAAAGTTTAACTTTCTTTTCCTCTTATTATAATGCCTTTATTGGAGAGTTAAGTGGCAGGAAAATCCTGTACTTTATTTAAGGAAATCCTATAATCAGTTAGCCTGGCCATCTCCACTGCCTCTCGGCTGTATGGGACAAGACATGCAGTCCCTTATTAAACACTCCCTGAAGTAGTCTACGGGTTATAATCTTGGCAGTCTTTAATTGATTGCAATCAGGCTGTATTTTTAACTATTTTGAAAGTGACTGTTTGGAACTCCATCATTTTCTCCTAAAACATGTAATAAGTAGTTACTAATAATGAAAAATTTACTACATAGCATACCACACTTCAGGCACTGACTAAATAGATTTCTGTTGACTAGTTTGTGAACCTAACCACCTATTTTTTGTTTGTTTTTCCCCACCTATTTTTAAAAAGCAGAATGTTTTTTATTTAAATTTATACTTAATCCTCATAACAACCCAATAATATAGGCAGTTTTTGTCCCATTTCACTGATGAGATAACTGAGGTTGAGAAGTAAAATAACATCTTCAAGGTTACATATCCGTAAGTGTTAAAGCTAAAGTTTGAAAGTAGGACTATCGTCGAAACCGGGTTGGCTCAGTGATAGAGCGTCGGCCTGTGGACTGAGAGGTCCCAGGTTCGATTCCGGTCAAGGGCATGTACCTGGGTTGCGGGCACATCCCCAGTAGGTGATGTGCAAGAGGCAGCTGATCGATGTTTCTCTCTCATCGATGTTTCTAACTCTCTATCTCTCTCCCTTCCTCTCTGTGAAAAATCAATAAAATATATTTAAAAAAAAAAAAAAAGAAAGTAGGACTATCTCCTTCAAACATACCATACTATTATATAAAATAACTTTGTACTCCATGCTCCTTAAATTGTTGGAAAAACCAGAATCCTTTCAGACTTACCTGCTTTGGCAGCCTTTATTTCTGCTTTAATTTTCATGACATCTTCAGCTGACAGGTCTCCCTTTTTTAAAACCACCACTTGGGGCTGTTCATCTTCTTTGTCACTGTGATCACCATCTTCATCTGGGAGCTGAGGCTGGATTCTCTAGGGGAAAACACACACAGATGACTTGTAGGGTCCCTGACCCTAAACCAAACACAGTGTCTCTACGAGAAACTGTAACTACTAAAGAGAGAAGGGTAACTTTATTGACTAAATGTGTTTGGCAATAAATTTTCAACTCAAGAACCTAACCTCTCAGGTAGGGAAGAGATCTGGCTGCCAGCTACCCAGGGGTGACTATCCAATGGGATTAGCTGCCATGTCAGCAGGACCCAGCTTGCAGTTTCCAGAGTCAGGGGCCTCTGCTTCACACACTGCAGAGTTCCCAGCCTCCTCAGGGCAGTGTTAAACCACTTCTCCTGCTCTTCATCAACCCTTTCACATCCATCTCCTCTCCAAGTGTGACAAAAAGTAAGCAAACACTTCCAAACACAGAGAGCAGCAAGTGAAAGGCACACTTTCTCCCAGCTTTGCTCCTCCCTCCTCCCAGCAGTTTGTTTAGGATGTCTCCTTTCAGCTGTTTTCTAAGTGTGTCAAATTATGGAGGTATAGGAAATATTTTGTGCTTTTCTTTTTATATTATGAGATTACTTGACAAGTGCATTCTCTTTAATGATATCCATTCACTAATTCTTAATTAGTTTTATCTATTTTTCTCTGAAAGTTTCCAAAAAATGACTACAAATAAGTAGGTAGGTAAATACTTTTAGCCAAGAAAATGGGAAAGTGAAATGAAATCATTCCTGGTGTTCATTAGATTGAGAATCATTAATTCTGAATTTGTTTATGCAACTGGCTGGAAAACAAGAGAAATCGTCGAAGGAACAGTGGCAGCAACCTTAAAGGACTGTTCAAAGTCACTCCTGAATTCACTCTCAAGAAGTCGAATAAGATGATTTAGAACTCAATTATATAATGAACTCTTTTCTTTTTCTGTTAACAGATCACTAGAATGATGATTATATTGCCAAACCAATAAAGAATGAATTTGGTTTCACAAACACAGGAACATGGGGTATCTCTAAGGAAAAGTCTGCTGATTATATCAATAAGCCCAAATCACTGGTATTAATTGGAAAGCTTTTCCCTCCAGGGTTCTAAGATATCATTCCAAACTGTAATCATAAAGATGTTAACTTAAAATCACAGTGCAAAATGACATGAGTTATTACAGATGAAATGGACAGTGAAGAACAGAGGAGGAATATCTGTGGGAGGTCCTAGTGATGATCTGAAGCAAACAATAAAATTAGGTCTCATTTTTTGCATTGCTGAATCTGAGTCCAAACCTCATCCTCTTTGTTGTCATCACTATTTTTGGTCCTAGGGATCAGTCACTTCCTGATGTTATCTCTAACCAAAAATGGGTCCTTGTTGCATAATGAATAGTCCATATGGCCTCGCCTCAATCACTTCTGCATACATTCCCTAACTCACCATCTCTACACTTTTGCCCATGCTGTACCTTTCATCCCTACCTGCTGACCTATTCGTACTCAAGATTTAATCTAAATATCCCCTCCTCCAAGAAACGTTGCCTGATGACAAGCATAGTTATTTAACCAATGTAACTTGTCACCCACTATGTTATGCAAGGCACTGTGCTAGGTGGTAAAAAAAAAACCCCAGAGGGATTGAGATAATAACTTAAAGAGTTTGATTTGATAGTGAAAATACGCAGGAGATCAAGTAATTTAAATGCAAAATGATATGAGTTATTACAGATGAAATGGACACAGTGAAGAACAGAGGAGGGGTATCTGTGGGAGCTTCAGAAAGCTTCACAGAGGCAGTGACCTCTGAAAGCAGAGACGAGGCGGGCGGAAGGAGTTAAAGAATATGGCATTTGGAGATCCCATCTCTGTCCTTTCAGGGCCCGGCATAATGCCTGGGTTTAGCGTATACTCATTGGGCTGAATAATTTCACATGAATCCGTCTCTCTTTTACTAAGCTCTTAGTGACTTGAGGGATGGTCTTAATGCCAGAGCTAGACACCAAGTACCAAGTTATTTCTCCGCATTCCCCTAAGCACAATGGTCTCTTCCCATCAGGCAGGGCAGGTTTTGGTGGGAACCAGGTAGGGTTGAAGCCTGGGAGGGCTCAGAAGTTGATTCCCACTGATCCCATCCCTAAACTATTCAGATCCTAAACTACCCAGATGTTGTTTTTGCTTTTTTTTTTTTTTACAACAACTAAGCATAGGAATATACCCAAGGGATTCCTCCAAAGATGTTCCAGGCCTAACACATCAGGCCTTCTGACCGAGGGGCCTCAGTTCATCTGGAAAACAGGACGACACTACCGTGCACCGTGCTAACTCTGCGTTTTGGAATAAGCCAGTGCGACAGGAAAGGGATCTTTCTTAACCATCGACCGAGGACGAGGCGCTTTACCTGCGTCAAGTCATTTTCGAGAACGGAACAGGCGCTCTGAAAACGACAAGGAGAGTCCCGGGCAGAGGGGGCTGCCGTCGTTTGACCAGCGGGGATCCGAGGCCCACTCACACGGAGGGCCGGGCGCGGGGACGCGGAGTGGCCGGCCGGGACCTGGACTCCAAGACTAAGCAAAAGCCGGAA